TGGGCGCGCGCGCGGCGCCGTTGCCGCTGGTGCTCAACACGTGGGCCTTCCGCGGGGCGGCGGAGACAGGTGGGGCCTGCGGGCCGGCGGCTGCAGCTGTTAGCTGCTCGGCTCCTGCGCACCGCCTGGTGCCTCCCCCGCGGGGAGACGGGCCGGGGCGGGGTCCTGGTGCCCCGCCGGGCAGAACTGGGAGGTGCCCGCGGCGCTCCGTGCCCTGCTTGGGGCCCTGGGTTCAGACAGTCGTGAGCCCCAGCGGCTTTATTGCGCTTGGTGTTACCCCAGGGCTCGAGGTACGAGGCCAGTGGGCGCTGCTGACTGATGTGGATGGAGCCTGGTGCACACACCCCCAGTGGTGCTGGCTTGTAGCTTTGCAGACACCCGGTCCTCGTGATTTGTAGCTTTGAATGTGTGCACACGCACATGCCAGGGGCTCCTGATGTGTAGCTTTACGTGCACAGCCCAGGTACGGCTGGTATGTAGCTTCACAGGCACAGGGCACTCCTGACGTGTAGCTTTGCAGGACCCAGGTGCTGTACAGGCATTACTGATGTGTAGTTTCACATATGCACACGTTGGGCACTACTGCTGTGTAGTTTCACACATCCCCCAACCCTCATCACTACTCATCTGACGGTTGATGCACAGGCACCGGGTACTACTGCCATGCAGCTTCGCAGACATGCACTACTGATGTACAGTTCACACAGATGTGTGTGCCCTGGGTATTACTGATGTGTAGCTTCACATATGAATGTGTCTGCACACACACACCAGGTTCTACTGATGTGTAGCTTCACATGTGCACATGCTGGGCACTACTAGTATGTAGCTTCAACGCCCCCTCCACATTACTAATGTGTAGTTTCACACGCTCCCACACCAGGTACTAGTGTTCTGCAGCTTCACACACACGTGTACTGGGTGCTACTGATGTGTGGCTTAGTATGCACTTACGCATGAAAAATTTGTGGAAGAAGGAAATGCATTGGTAACATCATTTGTTGGTTAAACTTTTTGGTTAAACCAGTTATCCAAAAACTCAACTTTACACAGTGAAGCTCTGACTACAAACATTTGCTTCCATTAAGTACTCTGAATAGAGTTGTTTCAAGCCACATTGGTTTGAGAGTTAGTTATGTACAAAGCGTTTGGTGGGTCAGGTCTTAACCCTGCAAGCTGTTCCTCAAACATTGCACCCAAGTAGGGGCTCCTTGACTTCCCTCTGGCCATACGTAGTCTCAGAGTCCAAGCTTGTGAAACAGTTCATGAGATTAAGACTTTTGACCAAATTCAGCAAAAACGGATGTTTGTGACTCATATAAAGTTTTGCAAGTTCAGGCTGTGAACAAATATTAAAAAGCAGAAAACATTAGATAAAAAATAGACTAAGGTCATTGGTGTTGCATGAACTTTGCTTTCATTGCTTTGCTTTAATTTTAATTCCACCCTTCACATTTTTACTTGAGTGATATTTGAACTCCAGATTCTCTTTAAAATTGTTCTTGAGCAACATTTAAAAACTTGTTTAGGTTGTGTTTTCTTAAACTTTTAATAGTTCGTACTCTTGCAAGTCACTCCTTGTGGAACTGTAAATAATTAATAGAGGTCCGTGTGGGCTTAGGCGAAGCAACTTTTATGACTATGACTTAAAGTAACTCCCACCTTACTGGGTAGCAGAAGCACTCTAATTATATAGTGTTCTGCTCATATAAATTATTTTTGGGTTTTGGGTATACCAAATACAGGCAAATTGTGGAGAGTGTTCAACAAGAATACTTCGTTACAAAAACAGCTTCACTTTGCATTCAGAAACACTAATCAAAATGGGGAAAAAAGAAAAATTTTGTATTTTAAGTAACATTTTCTGATGATTTTACCTATTATTGACACTTAAATCATTTATTTTTGCCTCCATCCTTTTTGTTTTAAGATTTCAAACATTAAACATTAGATGGTCATTATTTTCACTCACAAATTTTATCATTTGTTGGTTGACAGCATGGCGTACTTTACAGTCAGGAGGCTCTGAGTTAGATGCAGTCGAAACAGGTTGTGGTCAGTGTGAGATTGAGCAGTGTGATGGAAGTGTGGGGTTTGGAGGAAGCCCAGATGAACATGGAGAAACAACGTTAGATGCTATGATAATGGACGGGTAAGAAAATTGCCTGTGAAAGTTTGATTTTGGGGATCTGTGGAACACTGATGTAAACACGTATTTATGTATTGGGTAGTGTAGTGAAACTGAGGAAAAAACAATCCGGTCAGGGAGGTGGCAGGTACCATAGCACCAGGACATTTGGAATCTAATTGAGCATTTATTTTGCAGTCACTGCTTTTCACTTAATGGTTGACAGGTAAAGCAGCTGAGAGATGACCTAAAGTGGGTGGAGTCTGTGACAAAAATAAAGTAGAGATTCTCCCTTTAAGTGAAAGATGGCATGGAATACGTGTCACTGTTCAAGTAAAAAGTGAAAGGAGAAAGATGTGGGTTTTTTTCCCCAGGATTGAGGCCTTGGAGGTTTTCAGAATAGATTTCTAATAGAGAAATGTTTTCTTTTTAGGAAGAGACTGGCGCAGCCCCTGGCCCCAAGCTCACAGCAGTCAACCTGCCCTCATCCCATGCACAAATCGAGGGGACAGATGCCCCCATGCCTCCCCTGGAGGTGCGCACAGCAGCAGGGATCTACACCCTTGCACTCCCTGGGTGAGCCTCTTGTGGCTCTATCCCATGCTCTACCCTGCCTGGGCAGTGCCTGCCCCAGCCCCACTCCCTCCCTCACCATGGGGGCCTTGATTTGTCCCCACCATTTTCCTTCCCTCCTTCACGCCCCTTCTCTTCCCTTCCCACCCCCGCGACTTACCAGCAGAATTCTGCTCTCCACACTGCCAAGCTGCATTCCTGGCCCTGTGCATGCAGTAGCTGCTCACATGCACGAGGCATTTATCGGTAACATTATCAGCTAACCCGGCCAAAAAAGCTGATGGCCTCTAATGTCAATCTTCCTTTTATCAGTGCCGATTTGTGTGACTTTTATGCCAGGATAATTAAAAAGAATACAATTTCTAGTGTAAACAAATTCAGAGTATATATAACAAAGGGCACACAACTATTTTTGTTTGCCACGATTTAAGTTATGCAGTCCTTAAGTATCTCTCAACTGTAATCTCTTTTCAGCAACACCATGGAAGTTGGGTCTGTAGCAGATCTCAGACATGTAAAAAATGCTATTGGTGTAGCACGAAAGGTGATGCAACACACTAAGCATACACTATTGGTGGGAGAGTCAGGTAATTACCTACTTCATTCTAAACTTTCTATGCCTTAACCTTGTCTTACTTGTGACTGTGCAATAGTGGGAGAAAGTTTATAGTGGATTAATCTTCGTATAAATGGCTGCATCTAAATAGCACAAAAGCATGTATCCTACTTTGATTGTATCCCTTATTCCTGACTTATCAGAGTTTTTAATTTGGGTATTTCTGAGGAAAAAAGAAAAGCTTTATGTTCCCTGTACTTGTCTCATGTGCAACAATTAACTTGTAATCCCAGGGATGCACTAATATCTCCGAAAATGCAGGCATTAAATAAAAATTATTTGACGTAAGATGGTATCAACAGAAGCTGTTCAACATAAATATTTCATTTAAAACATGGGGAAACTTTCCTAAACAATAGTAGAATTGTTAGGGAATGCATTTGTTTCAAAGCATATTTTAACACTTCTCAGCCTCTTGTGGACTAAGATCAAGTTTAGTATATATTAAACACTATTGCTGTATTTTGCAGTTTAAAACCATACATGAGAACTGTTCCTGCTTAAAGGAGCTTATAAACTAAATCAAGTGCTGTGCAGCTTGATGTAGCAAGTCAGGTAATGGTAAACACTATGAACAGTGAAGTCTTCACCTTTTTAAAAGTAACAACACTTTGTTGGTAGACTAATTTAATTCAATTTCACAGAACAAACGTGTCACAAGTTGGAAACTGAATAGACAGGGGAAGGGGTAGTTGTGTGATAGTTAAGGCTCCCTTAAAATGTAGGGGCTTGCGGCAGGGCACTGTGGGTGCCTGCCACTCTAAGGGCCTGGAGCTGGCAGCTGCCAGGTGCCTGATGAGAGCAGCCATTTTGAATCTGGGGCTGCCCATATAAACAGGGCAGTTTTCCTGCTGGGAGGCTAGGCAACAACATTGCCTGGCTGCAGAGCTGCTGGCATCATCTGGAGGTAAGGGCAGGAGCTGTAGGGGATGGTCAGGAGGTTCCTGGTCCTGGGTATGACCTAAATCTGCACCCTGCCAGGAGTGGGTGGCCTGGTGGGGCTCCCAGTGGCATGGGAGCCCCCAGGAAATGCCAAGCCAGTTACCACCCTGGTGAAAGGTGGGTTGGGTTGCCTTAACCCCTAGCCCTCACAACCGGCTGGGTTCCCCATTTTGTAGGGTCGAAGGTGGAACCCCAGAGAGAGTGGGGCCATAGACTTGCACCTGTCTGGACACCCCCTGACTGGTCAATGCTGGGGCCAGGACCGGAAGGGGTCAAAGGGCCAGGGGCCCACTGTGAGGAATGCCCAAGAGATGAGGGCCTGGGGTTCCAGCTGGCCTGGAGATGGGCCAGGGCTAGTAGCCAAAGGTCCCAGGGGGGACCACACCCAGAAGGGGGAGCAGTTCAGGGAGCTATGCTGCCCAGGATGAAGATGGATTAGGCTGTCGGAATGGAGGGATCTTAGAGGGGTCCTGATTGGAGAAGTCTGGGGCCCAGCAGGGGGCTGGTGACTGTTGAGAACATCTGGATGCCATCTGCGAAGCTTGGGCTGTGGTGTAGGGGAGGAAAGGAGCCACAGATAGCGCCCCCTGGCATCGGGGCAAGAAATAGGCAGCCTCCCGCTTATTAAGATCAATTAAACTATTAACAACAAGGCATGGAGGGCGAGAAGGCAGGCAGTTAGCCCAGAAACAGGTGGGCAGGCCACTGGGAAGTCGGCACCAAGAGGCCCCCGTTACAGGGCTAAATGAAAGAAGGGAAGAATACAGGTGAGAGAGTAGAGACTCGGAAGGAAATGGTGTTCAGAACCATCAAGGTGAAAACTAGAACATTTTGAATTTGAAAACAAGATGATTTGAAGAGGCTAGTAAAATGGTCATAGTTTCCGGAGAGAGATCTTTCTGATGCAGCTTTTTTCATGGAATAGTGAAAAATAAAGAATAGGTGGTCGGCAGGCATGGGTGACTGGTGCCACCTGAGTTGGGGGGCATGCGCCCCCCCCCCCCACCCCAGTGACCAGTCAGCAACTGGGGGGGGGGGGGGGGGGGCATGCCCCCCCCCCCCCCCGGGGCCCAGCCAGCAACGGGGGGGGGGGGGCCCCCCCCCCCCCGTTGCTGGCTGGGCCCCGGGGGGGGGGGGGGGCATGCCCCCCCCCCCCCCACCCCAGTGACCAGTCAGCAACTGGGGTGGGGAGGTCCCCCCGCAACCAATCTCGCTGACTGGGGTGGGGGGGGTCCTCCTGCAGATAATGCTGACCAGGAAGTGGCTGCAGCACTCCCAGAAGTGGCCACAGCGCTTCCAGAAGTGGCTGCAGAGCTCCAGCCAGCGCTTGCAGTGGGGGCACTGGCACTCCCGCCTGCCCCCCCTGCCTATCGCTTAAGCAGGGAGTGCGGTCTGTCAGGAGGTCCACCAGCGCTCTCAGAGGGTGCACGTGCAACCCTGTGTACCCCACATGTGTCATCACTGTCAGCGGGTGTGATTGGGTTTGGTTGGGATGGGAGGACTTGAGGGTGAAAGGTAAATTTTCACTGTTCATTGTTATACTAAGCTGCACAGTAATTAATTTAGTTTATAAACTGATTTAGGCATGAACAGGTCTTGTGTATTCTTTTAAACTGCAAAGAACAGAGATGGTATTCAGTACGTATTAAAAGTACAATGCTTTGAAACAAGATATATTCCCTAACACTTAACAGAAAAGATGGGTTCAGATGGAAAAAGGTAGAGCAGTTTGAAATGCCAGAAATGGAATCGGAAGAGTGACTTGAGAATTGTAGGGCTGGGAAAGCAAATTAGCAATTGGGTGAGGAAGTAGTTAAAGAGTTGAATTTGGCCGCTAGGTTTAGAATATGAATTTGGAATATAAAACAGTAAGACCTAGTTTTGACTGGCTCCAGAACACAATGAGCAGTCAGTATTAACCAAAGAGCCACAATAACATGTAAACCTTTAGGTCAACTGTGTAGACACTCCAGTTAGAAAAGCTGCAGAGCATTAGTGAATGGTGGTAGCTTGTGTTGCATTATTCATGATGGCAAGAAAAATCCTCAATGCATGCAGTAAAAGGAAAGCTTCAGTAATAATGTCAGTGAAGAGTGGCAGGTGACTAGGTGAAGAACTACTTATAGACTGTAAAGGATGGTCTCTTAGGCATGACTAAAGGATGGTGTCTTAGTGAAGGTAGGTAGAAAGTTACTGATAAGTATAGATGCTAGCTAAATGTCTTTCAAAAAAACTGAGGACAGAAAGAAGAGGCGAGATGAAAGTAGGTTTGAAATGTGTTCCTGCATGAAAAGACTGAAGATGGAAGCGAAATAAAAACTTCCTTGTGAAGGTAGTTGGAGCATTTGTATGATTTTTTTGCAGAGAGGGACAGAGAAAGCAGGTATGAATGAGTCAGACACGGAGTATATGAAGAATACGATGATGGCACAGATAATAGGAACACGCATCTAGAAGCATAGAGAACTGAAACTTTGAGATCAGTGGGGAAACAAATTTGAGTTATGTTGGTTCAAAGTAATAGAAACAACTTAAAATATGATTTAAAAAAAAAACCTGATACGACTCGTAAGCATTTTTCTAGTATGTAGCTTGTTTCTTATCAAGTGAAGAAGTCAGAGATCATTCCCTATTTTCTTGCCGTTACCCTAATTCAAGATATTTCTGCTTTGGAGACTTAAAAGATTCAGTATCTCAGTCCAGGAATAGTAAATCTTTTTTGAGTGCTTTGTTTTTTAATGATTCAGCAGCCTTCACTTGTTCACTCCTGGTTGTCAGTATGTTAAAGAGTCATTGTGTAAAACGGTGTGCGAGAGAAACTGTGTTGCATCTGACAGTACAACTGTAATGGAAACTTATGTTACTTTCAGTATTCAATATTGAAAACGCTAATTGGGTCTCTTGCACTTCTGTGACTACATAAGCAATTTTCACAGTTCTGTTTAGCTCAAGTACCTCTAGATTATATCAAATAGAGAGGATGACAGGGTTTTTTCACCCTACAGCTTGCTATTTTAATGTTGATTGTCCCAGTTTTTAAGGTGAGATAGACAGTGTGATGTGCCACTGAATCGTACTCGAATGGATGATTAATACTGGAATGGTTGGGTAGAATGAATGTGTTCAAGCAGTTGATGCGCACAGAATAATCTAATGAGACGATGAATTCTTGTTAAATCCATGTCTTAAGCATGTTTTCAGTTATACTAAACAGCAACATATTTTCATTTATTGGTAGTAAAACCATGTATCTAGCACTAATGGAATTACTGTATAAGACTTACTAAAAGTGTCCAAATTGCACATTACCTTCACTAACTCATTTTTTCCATCCTTGCTGTGCAGACAGTCCGGTTGAAAACTTATGATTTTACTCAAAATCAAAAATAAAGTAGCAGAAAAGAAACACAAACAATGTAAGCTTGGAAGGTTGGCAGTTTGAGTTTAAAATTCAAGTGGCTTCCTTACCTCCTGAAAAATTTATTTTTTAACATCTATATTACACTAGATTCTAAAGCAGGGGCAGGCAGTTATTTCTGCTAGAGGGCCATTTAATGAGTGTTGGTCAGCTGTCAAGGGTTGCATGGGTAGCCGCACCCCTTATTAGTTGCCTCGCCTCCTGGTCATCATAGTGGGACCTGAATTCTCGCCCCTTAACCTCCTGACCTTTGCCACTGGAAGTCCATCCTCTTGCTCCCCAGAAATACTTCTTTTGGGAGGGGAGGGTTGCCATCTTGGAACCAGAAAGAAACCAAATCATACACTCAATCACCTATCATAGGCAGCAGAAGGGGACGACTAGCAGGGCTAAGCCCCCAAATGCAGGGCAGCGGTAGGGCCACAAGGCAGCCCGGCTGCGGGGTTCTTGCGGCTGGGCTGGGGAGCCCTTGCCCCACTCCTCCCCCACCTCACTCTGCCCCTTCTTTCGCAGACTTACCTGTTGGAGGGGGATGCATGCACTCAACGCCCCCCGCCCACCAAATTTGTTCTCCCTCCATCTATGACACCTATTATAATGTATTTTAACTTTATTACAAAAAGTATTTGTCCTAATTTATGTTTGTGTACTGTATATAGAGGTGATGGCATTATAACTCAAAAATCAAGTCTTACTTTTGTGTATTTTGTGGAGTATGGTTGGGGGCAGGAGGGTGTGTTTAGTGGGATGTGGGGAGTGTATGCAGGTGGGTGTGTGTGGGAAGGTGGAGGTGGTGTGTATGGGAGGTGGGGGGGTGACTGTGTGTGGGGCATAGGGTGTATTGTGGTGTGTGTCTACATGTGGGAGGGGTTGTTGGGGCAGGGTGTGTGTATGTGTGTGAGGGGTGACCCCCCCCACACACATTCCCCCACGTGGTACGCAGCCCCCACTGCCCCAGCACTGGCACTAGTACCCAGTGGCTTACAGCTCCAGCCAGCATTGCGCATAGGGGTGAGCAGCACCCTGCCCAGCCCACATCTATCATAGGCTCCACACCGTGCAGCGCCTGCATTCGCGTGGCACTGGGGGAAGCCCCGCGTTGGAGCTGGCTGCCTTCCCTGCCCCCTGCTGTGCAGGTCCCAGGACTCCACAGGGAAGCAGAGTGCGGGGCGTTCTTTCAGCCCCGCTCCCTTGGTGGAGTCCTGGGACTTGTGCGGCAGGAGGTAGGGAAGGCAGCCAGCTCCAGCACTGGGTTTCCCCTAGTGCCACACGAATGCAGAAGCTGCAGGCAAACTGCTCGGAGCTCCCATGATAGTCAGGCTGGGCAGGGTGCGATCTGAGTGCCCCTGCCTGCTGCTCTTGCCAGTAGTGGGGGCTGCACACCATTCAGGGGAGTGTGTGAGGGATCCCCGTAGCTTCCCTCACACCCATACCCTGCCCAGCTGAGCTCCGTGCTCCTGCAGCCCCACACTCCCTGCCCCATTCAGCTAAAGCTCCCCCTGCCTCTTCCCTAGCTGCTGCCTGGAGCAAGTAGGACGCTGGGGAAGACAAGCAGATCCCTTGGGGGCGGCTGCTGCTGGTTGGGCCAGGCCCATAAGCGTGGAAGTGAGGCCCAATAGGGTAGGTTGGGGGCTGTATATATACCTAGGCGTTTCGCTCCCACCCTCGTGGGCAGAAGGGCTGGGCAGGGTACAATTAATTTGTGGGTGCCTTCGGGCCAGATGAAGGTGCCTTGGGCCATATTTTGTCTGCTCCTGCTCTAAGTGCCTCAGCTATATTTTGCTTAATTTGTTCTAAGCATTTTATACCTACTTGCAGCCTGCCCACTGCCTGCTGTGAGCAACCCAGGCTCCACAGCTGGCAGCAGCTGCACATGCACCTCTGGGTATGCGGTGGGGAAGGAGCCAGAGCAGCGCAACTCCAGCCCCTCTCCTGTCTGCCACCCAGAGATGTGTGTGCACCTGCTGCCAGCAGTGAGCTGGGCTGGGGCTCTGCAGACCTCAGTGCAGTGGCTTGCAGCCTCCCTGTTGCCTGCCACAGCCAGCCCGTGCTCTGGGCTGGCAGGGAGGCTGCAAGATACTCACACAGGCAGTGGGGAGGCTGAAAACAGCTGCACTGAGGTCAGTGGAGCCCCAGTTTTGCAGGTGGCAGGTGTGCACACGCTTCCGGGTTAATGGCAGGGAAGGGGTTGTGGTTTCATTGCCACAACAAGGCTTGGGTCCCTTGCAGTTCCCCCACCCTCTGCCCTGACATACCAACATCTTAAGTCGAGGCTGGGGTGTTTTTGGCACTCCATCCAAAAACATTGCTGACCTCTGTTCTAGGGCTACCTGCTGCCCCGTAGAGGTCAGTGTGTGCTGTCCTGTTCTATGGACCACCTGAGTACCTCACTCACTTACCTACCATGCCTTTGGTTTTATTTTGGGAGTATGTCTTTAGTCTTGTCAGAGGGCAATAACTTCAGGTGTCTCTTCTGATTATATCATACAGATAGATCCCCCTTCCCAGGCCCTGATAATATCCTATCTCTCTTGGACTTCTGCTCTGCCTGCCAAATCATTTTGTAGGGTTTTTCCGTCTCTGCATCGGACCACCAGATCAAAAAGCAGTCTGAAAACTCCAAGAGAGTACCCTTTTTGCAGCCTCCCTACTCCCATCACAACCACAAAAAGGAGCTTGCCTCACGATCCAAGCTCCTTTTGCTATAATGTCTCACAGTCATGGGTGACTGATGCCTTCTGAGTCTGGGGATGCACCCACAGAAGCTGTTGGTGGCGGGGATGGGGCTGGCAAACACCTGCAGAAGCTGTTGGTGGTGAGGACGGGGCTGGCGAGCCCCCACAAGCTGGCGGTGGCATAGGCAGCGGGGATGGCCCTGTCAGGTGGGGCACATGGGCCTCCCCTCCCTCCCCCCCCGTATG